TGAATTGAAAAGGGCATCATTTAAAATTGATGACTTGCCCGCCATTTATATCCGAAGCATACATTGTGTTTACTCTGTTTTAACATGCATACGACTTCATTTATTTACAATAAATGAAGAAATGGAAGAAAGAGCGAATGTGTGAGAGAAAATAAGAATATTTTTTGCATATTTCACCTGCATTTGCTACTTTTCAACTGGTGTATGCTCAACAAACATACACACACTCACTCACAAATCCGATTAAATTTTCAAATAAATGACTGAGTCGGCGTGACCTGAATAAATCGGACAAAGTACGTACTAAACACTTGCATGCTGCAAAAATAAAATGTTAAAAGAAGAATTGTGTTCTTTTCTTTCAATTTTCCATTAATAGCAATTTTATAAGGTTAATTATGTCAAAGAATAGACACCAAAACAAGCCGAAGCGTTCAGCTAATGTGAAATGTGAACTACATTGAGCCCGACATTTCGGCAACAACCATTAGACAAATACACGTAATGTGTTGGAGAAATAAGTGGAGAAAACAAAATATAGATATTTGTTTAAAATAAGAACAAAACGCGTACGGTATCACATGAATTCACATGAATCGATACTCGAGATAAACAATTACAACATAGATTGTGCTAACATGAAAATTTGATGATTGGGTCTGGTTGGTGTGTAAATTATGTGTGTTTTTGATAGTTTTGCATATAGATGTACATTTGTGCATTGAAAATTCGATAGCGCCATTCACAAAAGATTCTGAGATTCTATCGAAATAAAATCAATGTTGATTGCACTCTATATGCTGATGCATCATATTCGCTTTTTATTATGTAATCATAAAAAAATGCAATTCACTTGCAATTGAGAGAGTGGGAGACAAAGAGAAAAATAACAAGAGCAAGTGTGTGAAAAAGAGAAAGAGAGAGCGAACGAGAGAAATTCATTGATTCAAAGCCAAATTGTATTACGTTCATTGAATCACATGGCTTCAATGCATATTAGAGCAAAATCACATTTTCATTTTTCTTGCATTGTTTATAAATAAAATTGAGTGTTGAAAAATTTCGCTGTGAATCCCGTTGTGTTTTCCATTTGCATAATATCCTAAAATGAATATTATCGATATTTATATCTACATGCGTTGAATTTTGATGAGAATAAATTTCTTGTTTAATTTTCATTGAAATTAATGGCATGAAAATTGAAAAAAAAAAAACCAATCGTTCTCTTCGTTGTTCACACTCGGTCCGGTCAATTTTTCTCTCCTTTGGATGAAATCATTTTCATTTTCGGTTTTTATATTTTTACGTAATGAACACATCGAACGATTTCTCAATGGAAAATATAATACAGAGGTAATTTTATTTAATAATAAAAGCGACGCCTGTTTTCTATATCGACCAGAAACTCCCTTAGAGTGGAGATAGAGCGAAAGAAAAAAAAATTATTGATATTTTTATGTTCATTTCTCTTAAGCAACACAAAACAGAGATCCATTCGCGTTGTTCATCAACATCGTCGTCTTTGACTTCATCGTCGTCGTCATTGTCACCATTATTGTTATGTCGAGAACATAAGCTAGTCTTTATCTCACCAATATGTTTATGACATGAATACACCACGGTGTATATTACAATTTATCCGTATTCGATGTGCCGCACATGTATTTATCGTTTATATGTAAATGTGCAGAATTATTCATGTCAAACTCACTTATGGCATTATTTATTTTATTTAGTTGAAAAAAAAAATTAGAGCATTTGTGCAAATTAAAAATGAAAACGATGCGGCCAAATCGTATCCGAGGCAACTAGCCGTAATGAGCTTATAAAAATCGCTTTCTCTCTCTCTCTTTCATTCTCTTCCTCTATCCTTCTCGCTTTTTCAATGTTTGTTTTTTTTCTTCTCTTTTCTCAAAAATATATTCCGTTTAAATTGGATCGAAAATTCGCGTATATTCTCAATGATTATAATTGCGATTTCATAAGAGCGCGCGCACACACACATACACACACACACACTATGTACATCCATTTTCGATCGAAGAAACATATTCAGGTGCACAATGTATCCTAACCATTTTCAGGTGGAACAGTCATAATAACGACGTATGTGCATGGACACTATTCATATCAACAACATGTTTTCATTTTTGATTCGATAATATTGGTGTGCAATACGCATACACACAAACACCGCATCACATATAGACATATGCATTTTGAACAACCGTCGCGATCATTTGAATTAGATTCATTCAATGAAATTTTTTCGTTTATTTAATTTTTTAGCTGCATTCTTCACTTATCGATGAACTCAATTATTTAAGGAAAAAACATCAATCATCGTTAAAATCACAGACCAATTAAATTCATCATCATTTGACAGTAATGCGTTTGATATTCGTAATATATTCATTTCTTGGGCGTGACACTAAACTCCATGCCTTTAAGTCGTCGGTGTACATTTGTATTGTATAGGTAAAGATGTAAACGCGAATACACTTAATACACACTGTACTGTATTTATGCATTTAATTGCGTCAAATAAAATATTTTTTTTTGGTGTAATTTTATTTATAAAACATATATGTATATATATATGAAAAAACCACTTATTTAAACCATATATGCGACGAATGAACGAAAAAAAAAACTGTGTTAGCAATTGTTTGAACCATTTGATTGAGCCACCTTTTTTTCTTCTAATTTTATTTTGTATCAAAAACTCAAATTATAACAAATATCGTTTGATTAAAAGAATAAAGAATTCTTTTTGTTATTAATTTTTGATTTTTTTTATGTAATAAAAACTACTCACCTCCGATTGAATCGCCATATTCTATATACACAATTCCCAAATAAATGCCCAAATGTAAATGAGAGTGAGCCAAAAAGTTTGTATTTTGTTGTGTGTTCTTACTATTTTCTTTCCCGATGATTTTATATTGTGTGTGTGTCTCTCTAACTCTAATGTAATATGGTAAAGTCAAAATTCTGAATATCGATCTGTCAACCGCGCGCATACACAAGTACACACTCACACATTTGACTGGTCACTTTACGATTGGGAACGCGACCTTAGGTCGTTTACTCTACTATATATACACACATACAATTTGAATGGTGCACCTGATGCCGGATTAAACACTTTTTATTCGTTAGTTTTTTACAATCAAACACTTACACAATTCGATTACTTCAATATTTCTATTTTACAATTGCATAAATGAGTTCGTATTTTATAGAAACTTTGAAAAGATAGTATTGATTTTTATTGTAATTTATTTGAACAGAAATTTGTTTGTAAATAAGAAAAAATTGAAAGCGGTGGCTTTTTCTTGTTTGAACATTTCATTTGGGTTGTCGAATTGGCAAGTAGATGGCGCTTATGTACATTTATGTGCTTTTCTTATTTGATTTTTTTTTCTAGTTTTAAAATCGATTCGAACGACACAGCCATAATGCAGCGAAATCAGCAAATATTTATTTGCCACAAAAATGAACTATTCAGCAAAAAATGGATTTAACTCCCATAAGAAATGAAAATAATTAGCACAATAAATGATTGTGGTTTCCAATTTCAGCATTAATAAAGTCGTTGTTTTTTCAATTTTGAAACATTTTCGGCTCAAGCATGCCATTTCTACATAGCATTAATAGAAAGGAAGAATGGAAGTAATTTTTTTTCATAGAAATAATTATTTTACTTTCGTGATGATTTTAAATTCTTGACGATTATGTTTTAAATTCATTGTTCATTTCATTTTTTTTTTTCAAGTTTCAGTTCAAACCGGCTTCAGCATGAATTACACATTTGATATTACTATCATCTACCATTCCATTTGATTTCAAACAATAAACCGAATTAAATATACTTAACGAACTTGATTGACGCCCGCTCAATCAATTAAACGATTTATTATTTTGATTTGGATGTTAATTATCGTGAAAAATTCAAAATCTGTTAACATTGATTGAATGAGAATTTGGCTTATGTTTGCACAAAAATTAACTATTTTTTGCTTTTGTTTTGTTTTACGATTTAAAAGTGAATCAAAGTGGCCGAAGATTCTGATAAGAAAGAAGAGCAAAGCATTTCAAATAGAGCAAACCAAATTTGTTAATTATAAATAACCAAAGAATTATAACGATAATTATCAACCGTAGAAATGCTATTCAAAATAGTTAGTAAAGTCGGTTCTTATGCAATACTTACTCAACCTCGTTAATTTGCCTCATTTATTAAAATTTGAGCGAAATTCAACAAGTTGGAATTGAAAAAAAGCAAATAATTGCCCAATTGTTTTAATCTCAAAACGATGGCGATTTATGTGATATTTTCAAATATATTCAAATCACATGTCTCGAACAATGGCGTGTTGAAAATGTTCTGGCTTTTCACTCTTCAATAAATTTCTCAAGTTGAACGACTCTATTGTGAAATTTTTAATTGATAATAATCATGATTATGCCAATGGCCTCATTTTACACACGCATTTGTTAAATTTACATCAGGACAGAAATCATCTTGATTTGTGATCGAAATTCAAATAAAATTGTGATCAAATCGTTTCATAACAACACTTTCCATATTTCTAATCAAATCAAAATCGTATTCATCTCAAGAATTTATTGATCTTTCTTCCATAATTTAACGTCGGTTTGTGTTAATTCTCACTGTAAATCAAAGCAGACAGTACTGCGTCTTTAATATCGCGCAATATACAAAGCGGTATTTTCGTATTGCTCACCTTTTTTTTAAATGATGTGTTAATAACAACAAATAAAAAAAGAAACCAGTTATACTACAACGACATGACATGATCTGTGTATGAGAAAAAAGCATGTTATGCTTAGGTTTTCGGTTCGGTTCCGTGCGTTGAGTTTGATTGCAAACAAAAACAGTTGTAAAAAAATATGAAAAACTATACAACACATACACATAGGCAATGTGGTTTCTGCGGTCCGGTCAAAGATTCTGCTTTAATATAAAAAAAATCATTTGTTTTACTTCACTCAGTGCAAATCATTTAAAGCGTTAACATCTGTTTAACATCGCTCGACTAATTTATGTTAATCAGGCTTTTGCTGTTGTTCAATAGCTGTTGCGAATACAAATTGTGATACCATTCTTTTTTGGGCTTTTAACAAGGTAGTTTTTGGATATAAATACATTTTATCGCTTGACAGTGAGCCAGTGCGAAAATTGTCTTCGAGTTGAAATTTGTGGACCGAAAAAAAGTGAGAGTCTTATAAGAATGACATGTGCTGACAAAAATTGATATGTTTTGCTTAGTAGGACCTTTTCAATGTCAAACCTTTCAATCGCCAATGCAAATTTTAAATTCTTGTTCATACAAACGTGATCATTTTCGCAAAAAATTTCAATTATATTGCAAACATTTTGTGCAAAGATCATTAAATAAATTCAAATCGTATTGTGTGTTATTTCAGTCATAGTTGGTCAACATAAGGAAAACCGGAACACAGGTGAAAAAAAGATAGCAACATGAATGTTCAATTTATAACTGCAGTGTTGATTTCATTTTTTGTGATCATATTGAGCACCGAAGCGACCGTTGTAAGAAAGTGTCAAGGTAAACAACACGAATTATAAAATATATTGTACTTTTAACAAAATCAAAATCAAAATTTCCAACGAAAAAATTCACACGATAAGAAGTTAAAAGTAAGTAAGCGGCAAATGAGTTAGAAAATTGAACAGAAAAGGTGAAAAAGTCTTGAATAGATTTGTGAGTGGTTTTCAAACAATGTAACTAAAATTAAAATAAAATACAATAACAAAATGAATCTTTGCGCGAAGAAAGATTTACAAAGCGAGAAAACTTGCTTTTTTCGCGTCTTTCGTTCTTAACGTAACATCTCTTCATTAGTAAACGCTCATTACAGTCACGAATGGCTTCAAATCAATCACAATATTCCCCTCTCAAACGAAATTAGCTAAAAATATGTTACGCAATTAAAATAATGAATTTTTTTTCGTCGCCCGAATGAGAGAGAAAGAGGTGTTGAAGCACATCAGCGTTTATGTCGAATGTTAATGCGTAGTTCTGTCGTTTTTTTCTATGATAAAGTATCTGTGTATTATAACTAATACCAGGAAGAGCTCGGAACGAGTTCAGCAAGTACTTGAACTGAATTATGCTTAACTAACAACTAAGTTGTTAATGCTACATTTGCAATTATACTTACTTCCTTCACTTTGTTGTGCAAACGTCTTTTTTTATCTTCAAAGAAGATTTGTTGAATTTGCATTCATTTAAAGAAGAAAAAAATTATGTTTTCTTTGCACAGGTAATAACTATAAACAATTAAGTGACGTCGATGTGACCATTTCAAATTGTAAAAAAGGACGCTGTCGACTGCGAAAAAATACAAAAGTTTCGATTCAAATGAACATACAACCAGGTATGTTGACACTCATTTTATATACATATACATACAAAGAAAACAATATACATTTATGCACACTTTAGAGCCTAAATATCATACTTCTACAGTACTGCATCTAGAAATTTTATATTTCATCTAAATTGCGTTCGTTGAAACATTCGTTTTAGATGGAATTTTTTTTTGATGCAGTATTGTATAAATCTGGAATTTAGACACTACGGTGTTATTTTTTTTTGTGTGTAATTTTCGTGACCGGCGAAATTTATCTCTTTCAGCCATTTAAAATTGCAAAAATGGTTTTCTCTATTTCAGATCACGATGTGAAAAAACTAAGGACTAGCGTGAGCGCAGTTATTTTGGGTGTTCCATTGCCATTTATTGGTGTTGACGGAACAAGTGCATGTAATAATTTATATGAAGAAGATGGTGTTACAAAAACTCAATGCCCATTGAAGGCCGGACAAAAATACGTGTACAAAAATGCATTCGATGTGTTGCCCGTTTATCCAACAATAGCTGCTTTAGACGTACATTGGGCGCTAACTGAGAGTGACAACAAAGACTTAGTATGCTTTGAAATACCGGCCAAAATTACCACTTAAGTGTGACCTTTGTATTATTTTATTTAAGCATCATTTGTACGTCGTGGTTTTGTTCATTTTTCACAGTAGCATTTTTGCTGTCCCGAATTGAATTCTGAAAATAAAAGTAATAAACACATGGGTCGATTATTGAAATAATCGTTATTTTTACTTCACCAAGAATATAAATACCTATAGTTCCATAAATGTCATTGAAGTTTTTTATTTATTAAATAAATCCCAAAGTAATGGATCAATTCCGTGCTCTAATCTTGACGAATAAGTTTTATTTACATTTTTGGAACAGAATCATACATTACAAATCTGAATAGTTGTATGAAACCTATACCAAGAAAGTTTCGTCTGTCTGTTTCTATTTTTGCAGCGGTGTTTCTTGAACATTCAATGATTAACTACAAAACTACTTAATTGCTAATTATAATGATTGCAATCATGTTGTTGGATTTTATAAATTAACGATACTCAGTTTTGTTTCAATGTGTTTGAAATTACATACAGGGGGAGGAAAAAATTTTAAGCCTGACATATAGACGGCACTAGATACAAATTGTTCTTGTGCTGTAATTGAAGTACGAACTGTCAATAGTATTGTAGAAAAAAATTGAGTTGATATCTGTCGTTGTTTGTTTTCAACAGCATTGCATACCAAGTAACCTCGATATTTTTGAAAAAATGGATAAAATCGAATATCGTGCGGTGATTAAGTTTCTCACAAAAGAAGGTGTGACACCAAAGGATATCAATGATCGCTTGCGTGCTGTTTATGGGGTCCTTGCCCCATCGTTTGCCACAGTAAAACTATGGGCAAAACATTTCAAGTGGGGTAGAGAATCATTGTAAGATGATCCTCATACAGGTCGACCAATTGAAGCAACAGCTTCAGTTGTAGTGCAAAAATTTGAACATAACGTGCACGAAAATCCTCGAATGAGCAAGAAAGTGTTAGCAGCAATGTTTGACATCTCGGAGAAGAGTATTTACAACATACTTCATGAAAAATTGCACATGAGAAAGTTTTGCTCACGATGGATTCCAAGAACGTTGAACAAATCACAAAAAAAAAAGAACGAATTGCTGCTGCACACGAGTTTCTCGAGTTGTTGGAATGGAATGAAACGGACACATTTGAGCGAATAGTGCCTGGCGACGATTCCTGGATCCACTACTATGATCCAGAGCTCAAATCACAGACGATGGAATGGCACAAACGTGGTGAACCAGCATCGAAAGTGCCACGCAAACAAATTGCCACAAACACAGTAATGGCCTCTGTATTCTGGGATGCCAAAGGCATATTATTGGTTGAATTCCTTCCAAAGAATACCACAGTCACGGGCTATTATTATGCTCAACAAATGCATAGATTGCGTAAAGCGATCAGAGAAAAGCGTCCTGGTTTGCTCACTCGAAAAGTTCTTCTTTTGCATGACAATGCACCGCCTCACAAATCATTGCTTGCACAAGCTGCCATCAGGGAATGTGGGTTCGAACAACTCCACCATCCACCGTATTCTCCAGATCTGGCACCCAGCGACTATTTCCTGTTCCCAAACACCAAAAGATATCTAAAGGGGAAGCAATATGAGTCCGAAGAAGAGATATCGAACGATATTTTCAACGTATGGGAGGACAAAGATGCCGAGTGGTTTGAAGGAGGAATTGAAGCATTGAAGCATCGATATGAAAGTGTCATTCGTGTTCATGGAGACTACTTTGAATAATAAATATAGTCATTTAAAAATACAATGTGTGTTTCTATATCAGGCTTAAAATTTTTTCCTCCCCCTGTATATCTATGTCAACTTTGAACCTTATTCAATTTTTTATGACAATAATCTCTCGTATAATCTCCACTTGATGATTTAATGATGAGCATACTTTTTTATTCACAGCATAAATTTTGTTTTTTTTTTTTTTTTTTTATTCCAAAAAATAAATATTATAATACAATAGCAGACAATTTATTGAATTTATCCTACTATTCATCTAAGCCGACTCGAAGTAATTAGTATATTTCTTTTTCTTTGATTTGCAGATCTAATTTGATATCTCTCAGTGTAGACTTCTATTTTAATATTCCAAAAAGAGGTTTTGATGAAAGTGAGGCACACTTTTTGACACTAGATGTAATGAAATAACACCCCTTGGATCGCCAACTTCCAAAGATGTGGGCTCGGCCGAAATTCAATATATTGTCTGTAAAATAGTCATAATTCTTTCAAATTATTGTGCAAGCCGATTCTGGCATAGATTCTGATTCTAGTTGTTCATCGTTCGGTGCAAAAGATCAAATACTTGTTGAATATTTTTCGATTTCATATTACATTCGAAGAATTTCTTTTCACAATCAGCTGAACGTTGGCCCGCCAATATTGCATCGTTAACTGCGGTGCCTGCTGTAAGACGCCGCAAAATCCATGTACTGTTTGAAATTTAAACAACAACAAAAAAAAACACTGTTTACTAAATTGTCGTTTGAATTTTTTCGTTCGGGTAAAATGTCGATTGTTTGTATGATTGAAATGGGATAAGAATATTGACACAGCACTCTTCACTTATTTGGACATCAAATGGAAGAAGATAATGAATAACAAAAAATGACGTTTATTTCAACGATTGCCGAAATGAAGTGTGTGTCTATTTTATAGCTTCCGCAATTGAAATGGTTGGTGTTAAGTTATCACATTTCGTTTCGTATTCATGGCACATCGTGTTCAATTGTTTATTCAATTCTTTACCTCGATAAACCGTCGAATATTTTTTCCGCACTCGTACCTAAGGGGAGAATCACAAAAGAAAAGAATAAAATTTAAAATAATCGATAATAATTAATAAGCACTCGTACCATTTCCTTTTGCCACATTTTCAGCTGCATTTCGAATTGTAATGCATACCAAACGTTGCACACATGTCGTTACATCAATATCATATTTATGAAAAACTCGTTCCACTTTGTCGATCAGCTGATTCAATGGATTTTCATCGTCAAATTGATCTACAATTTATGAAATTTAAATTTAAATTCGAAGTTTTGTTTAAATTCATTCTTACCATCTTGTCTCGTATATGGACCGTAGTATGCGGGGCTGTTGACAAATTGAGATTGATCTTTCATAAACGATTTCCATAAATATGTCGACACAAAACCACCCAAGAGAACGGCTCCAGTCAAAGCAATCGATCCGGTATTTATATTCATCACTGGATCCTATATTTATTTTTGCAATCAAATTGATGAATTTTGTGTTGTCGTTCTTCTCTCTTCTTTCCACTTTTATTCATTAAAGGGAAAAAAAGATGCTTTTCTCCAAATATTTTTGAGCAAAATCAAAAAAATTGCAAATGCATACCGTGACAAAAGCCGACGAAGCCCATGATTTCATTGAATTCACTGAACGTTTAACCGGTATCGAGATGAATGGAACTGAAAATTCGATGCCAACCTAAGTGAAAAGAAGAAGAGATTTTAATTTCAAATTTCATCGATCATATAACAATGGTGTAAGTGAGAAATGAAAATAAAGTTATTATATACGCAATTTCCGTACAACACTAAAATATATCAACGAAAAAAAAACAGACTTCTTCAACCGCATTATCATCAACAATCCGCATCAAATTACCAGCCATAACATATTTAAAATGCATTGAGCGGAAAAAAATCCAGCACATTTTAAACGACGATACAATGACTAAATTTTCAGCGGTACACTCCGTTTAACCGTTTAAATAAGCGGGAGTGAAACCGTTTAATTGGTTTCATTTGAAGAAAGGTCGGAAAAGACAAATTTCCCGGTTAAAAAAGACGTCATATTTTTCCATTGCACTAATTTTGTGACTTTCTGTCTTGTACTATCGTTATGCTTAAATGTGATTTGACTTTCATTTAACAATTATTTACATATTTCTTTAAATATTTCCTATTTTGCTCTACCAATCGTTTTTTTTTTCTTCTTCTAGAAATGGTATCACATGCTAGTTTTTTTACATAAATCTTAACTTTCACATAGAATCACTTATTTGTCTATCATTTACTACCTGTATGTCATCATTTTTCGTTTCAAATGTAAAGAGTCTGCCATCCCTGGCGCTCGTTCTTTTTCCGGTTCTTTGAAAACTTTGAAAGTCATCGCTTATCGTTCTGGCCACATTGATTGTGCTATTTGTATAATCTGCATGAATAACTCGAAAATGAAATAAAAATGCACTGCACCAAAACATTTTTATAACCAACAACATTTTGAAATTGATTTTTTTGCTATCCGACATTTTGTTTCGTATTATTATAAATTTCGAATAGATTTGTTTTAAATCACTAAGAACGTTTTTTTTTTTTTTTTCAAAATCCAAATCTCAAGCACTTCAGAATTTTTTTCAATTTTCAGCTGTTCTTCTCAAAGAATTGATTCACTTTCTAGTTCAATACATTCTCTTCCATTCTAATTTCGATTCGTTACCCAAACGGTATGGCAGTTATGTGGCTGAGGAAAACCAAACTTACTCTGTCAGTGTCTGAAGTGTTCAACTATAAATGTAAACTCATACCAATTTCCATTCCGTATATATACAACATGCCGTACGAAAGCCAGCAATTTTCAATCCACGAAAACCAGAATATGATGAGAGATGTTTAAACCATATAATTTTCATGGCTTAATGATTTAGAGCGTATTTTGTGTCTTCTTGTCACAATTATATATGTAATTTGAGATTTATCATCGTTTTACTTTCGGCACCCTCACTCACACCGTACACAACGAAAAATGGTTCAATTGTTGTTGATTGTTCACATGTGACACCGCATAACCGTCAGTTTTTTTTTTCATGCTTCACTTTTTGACGTCGTTATTTTTCTTCAGAAGTGTTTTCCGTCAAATCTTTCCTGTTTGAAAGTGAGAAAGGAGAGGCAAACATTGTCGCGTTTTTCAATTACATGTTGGGCTGTTTTTTTTTCTTCGTCATTAAAATGTCATTTATTGTATCTGATGTGACGCATTATTATGTCACATTTACTGTACAAAATCAATTGATGTCAATCATAAAATACTTCTGGCAATTGTGTACGTATTCACCCGCACAGAAAACAAAGTGAATTTCAATTTGCATACTTTTTTCCCTTTTCTTTTTTTTTTCTCTATTTGGGTTGGTATTTATGGCACTGAAATCATTTTGACAAGATCATGAAATTTCATTCTTTTTGTGCACAGACAATAAAGTATTGTCAAAAATACAGACACAAATGCATCTGATATGCACTTAATTCTTAACAATATGGTGGCATTTGTATGGGTTATAAATTTTTATTGATTCGAAAATAGTTGCATTTTATAAAGACGCATTCATTGCAAACAATGAACTCAACTCATCAACAACATGTAATTCACAGTATTCAGTATATATTTTAAATAAGATGTTTAGCTTCATGGAATTTAACTTCGTAAATGATCATTTGTTTTCGACACTAAATAAATTGTGCACCGGAAACGAAAGAGGCAATCGGATGCTAGGAAAACGAAAAGAAAACGAACAGAACACGAATTTTGTGGCATTCTTTTCGCTCTTGCGAATCAAATAACTGCTTTGAACATGGTAAATAATTGATTTCTTTATGAAGAACAAATTGCTTGATTATTTACATTCTCTATAAATGATTCGCAATAATCGATATTTATTAACTCATAAAACCATACTTATATGAACATTTTGAATGTGATCCAGCGCCACATGTTGATTTATTAATCAGAAGCGATTTGATTCCGTGCACGACGTCAGACATGCACAAATAAAATTAACTACTTGCGCACAGCAAGCCAATAAATCGTTTAATTTATAATCATTAATTATGTGTGACGTTCAACGTACATCAGACATGAGTAAAAATTCGATATAATTAAGAAACAGACGGAAATTGTTTAAAAGATTAAGAACTATTAAAGTAGCACTGAAAGACCGCTTTCAATTTTCATTGATTCGAAATTCATCACCACTAGTTTGAATATGTGCTTAAATAGAAAAGTTCATGTTTTTTTTCGCCTGCTTTCCAAAACAGTTCCGTCTGAATTATCCATGAAAAGGATTGACGTTAATGCTTCCTTACATTTTCATTGAAGGTGATTTATTCGGAGAGGCGACTTTGAATTCATTGGTTGATTCTACTTAAAGCCCGTGCATATGAGACGGTACGTACAAACAGTAAATCCAAGTCTTATTTATAATTCATGATGCTCTTAAAAAGCTTAAATAAACTTTAAAAGTGACACACATATAAATGTTCATTCAAAAAGACATTCGCGTTTTAAAGCTTCCAAGCACATCATTTTCACTTGTTTGAAACAGGTTGTTGAGCTTCGAAAGCCATTGAAAAAAATACGCGAAAAGTATGTAATTTTATAATCCGAGTAGTTGTCATGCCACTCACGTACCTGACGCTTAACTTTGCAAACAACGTACGCAATACATTTTCCATTTGAACGACCATAACTTGTTTGTATTAAGCATACAAACAAAGTTCCATGAATTTGAGTGAATTTGAATTGCAATAAATCGTTAATGCAACTTTGAAAAGAAAGACGAAATTAAAAGTGAATTTTAGCTGCTTGAATGGCATTCACATGAATAATAAAACTGCTGCATGCTCCGATTCAGGAAATGAACACAAAAAATTAAAATCACATTATGAATATACATTTTAGATGTGGATTTAACTCTTTATTATTATTAATTATGATACAGCTTTTGAATCTCCCTATCAGCAATGATATTTGTGAATGTTTACAATTTAACAGATTCACGACACAAATTATGGCAATTTTTTTTTACATTTTGAGTTGATAGGTAAAATGTGACAATGACTGTTTCAATGTCAAGCAGTCGCCATACTATTTTATCTGCCTCAGACTGCCTGTTTTGTACGTATTTAACCATTTTT